CAAGGCACTCCAAAACTGCAGACTTACAATGCATTTTACGCCATTGCATTATTCATTAACTAATTGATCCTCTCATCTTGAAGTTCAAGAGCAGCTTTTGGGGGTTCAGCAATGAAGAAAACTGACACATTCAGAGGAGAGCGCTCAGAAGGATTTCCATTGAGGGGCTTCTGAAACCTCTACCTTGTATTTAAAAAGGTGGAAAAAACATCCTCCGGCTGCCGGGAATGTCGCTAAGCGAACGCTCCCAGCCAGAGACTAAACTCGGCAATGCCAACTCGTAATAACTTCCATTTACATAGTATCACATAAAGTTTGAGAACCACTTCTGCAATCCACGTTAGGCTAGGAGATCCTTCAATGATTTCCGTAAGACTCAACCCTGCACTACTAGTGCTTCCATTTTATGCCAATTTTTAGGCACTGTCCTAGAGAGTATAAGTTGTACCAACCGTTCCATCGTTACACACAAAAAATTCATATTTTTTGTGCCGAACAGCAACATTTAGGCCAAAAACAGAAATGGAATAGGGAATGAGAATTCATTTAAGTAGCCGAATTTCGAGTTGTTCAGTGAGTCGGAGTGAAAGCATATCCCAACTAATCGACTCTTCGAAAAGTCATTTGATCTCTTCAAAACATGTTTCACTGATAGTACGAAGTCATAATAGATCGGAGCCCTTTTTGTACAACTTATTATTCCTTTTCGAGAAGCAGAGTAAAGATCATTTGGAGGATAGTTTAATGCTAAAAATTAGCCGACTACTTTTGCGTTCAGAACGCTAATGTACATATGCTAAGCACTTGCAGTATGTCTTGCTACAATCCAGGCGTCAAAGATGAAACAAACTTGGACGCTCACTCAGGACAAAGCCAAATGGCTATTTCCGAACAAGCTGGATTTATTTTAGGTCAAAGCGCCATAATAAAGTACCAAGATGATCCATCAAGCAGTTTCCAGTTTCACCACTCAATAACGATTTTAAAATAACCCCTTGATGTCAAAAATACAGGTATCCTATCAAACAAAATGGAACTAACCTGGCCGCAACATCGGTAGCAACGAGGCAGGAGGTAGGTAGTCGTTTAAATTTTCCAATAGCGCCCAATCTCTGAGCTTGTGGCATGTCACCATTGAGGGTGATTACCGGCGTTGTGAGAAACTGACGCAGAAGTAGACTCAGCTTATTACTCGTCTCCCGCGTCCGCGTAAAGATGATAGCCGACCCCACTGATTCGGTTCTGTCAAAGTTTAACGTCAAATTCTTTAAAATGCCCATATCCAAAGTATCTCCCTAGAGATGATAGCAGACCACAACGGAAAACAAGCACCTATTCAAAACATCTCACTTATAAAGCCGGACATGGTGGATAATTACAAGTGAAGGCAGTGGTGCATGGCCTAGTATATGGACCCAACACTAGATGCATAGCTCAAAAAAACAAAAAGAATCAAATATATGAGGAATCACTAGGAAGGGAAACAGAAGATTAGTTGAATTTCAATAATTTAAGATGCAAATTCGGGTCTTGACACAACCAGGAGGTCTTTGCCCCCTGGGAGATAACATTTACTTAAGTTTTTGAGTACAAACAAATTTAAAAAGATACTTACCGAGATTCAGCGCTGGCGATGCCAATTTCATCCGTAGCTAATTTGATAGCCTCCAGCCCATTAATAGGCGAAGGGAGAGGTGAAAAAGCAGTGCGAACGAGATAGACTAGATAAGATTCTAACTCAGCTTGGGGCACCAGAAGCACATATTGACGAAGGCTCTCAACAGTTTGGAATTTACTTTTACGTGTGGAGATTCGCACAGGATCTCGCAGGGACGCTCTTTGCAACTTGCCCACCTAGTCCAAATAGTAAAAGGCTCATCAGGAAATAAGCATGCTAGAATTCCTTAAAAGTATTTGACATTACAATGCTGGAACATCAAGACTGTTCAACAAAGGATTTATGCAGGTTAAAATCATTAAAGGCCAGAAAGGCCGATTGGTGAAACCAATTTTAAAGAAGTCGGTTAAACGAAAGTTGTAAAGCAACGGTTACTTGTCAAGCTTTATAACGGAGGAGTAATTGCAACATGTGAACATGTGAAAAGCTGATGTCCAATCACAGTAAAAGCTCGTCAGACAAAAGGAGCAATGATGAAGGGTGGAACTTGCTTTTTCAGTCATGGTGGCAGAAAACAGGAATGTTTGTCGTGATGGAGGAAGAACAATGAGAATCTTTTCAATCACCGACTCGAAATCTGATCCGAGCATCCGATCGGCTTCGTCAATAACTAAGAAGCGCAAGTTCTTGAATTTGACCTCATCGAAGCCTTTGGTACGCTTAAGATGGTCGACGAATCTGCCAGGAGTAGCTAAAGTCAAATATTTATTTAGAAAAGCGCATTTGATGAACAAACAATTAAGTAGACTAACCGATTAAAATATGGGGCGGTTTCACTGCCATCAGATTGGCCTGATCTGTAATAGGTGAACCGCCTACTAGCAAAGCCGTATTTAGGCCAATAGAATGACCAAGAGCAACGCATTGAGCTTGAACTTGAGCAGCTAATTCACGCGTGGGTGCCAAAATCAAGGCAAAATAGTGTTTTGGGGATAACATTAGCTCCTTACAATGGCGTCAATACTACGGAGAAGCTAACCTGCAGTATGGGAAGGGTATAAGCACCAGTTTTCCCCGAACCTGTTTCTGCAAGAGCTATGAGGTTGCGTCCTAAGATTGTAAGACAAAGGTAAAACGGGTAAACCTTTTAGTGCGTGAGGAATGGATGCCGCCTGGATTTCGGTTGGTATTTTCCACCCTAAGCGCTTAACCGAAAACAAGACCTGGTCATCAAGACCCTAGAACATTCCACCTAGTTCCAAGTGATTACCAGTTCTTCAAAAGACGACACGGTTCCTAGTGACATCGCAACGACGCACTGTTGAGACTCGATGAAAATGACTCGCGGAGCAACACGTTTCAGACGTACCACGCCACTGAAGACGGTTTCAAACAAATGCGCAGTCAACCATAGACTTTGATATTTTGATTCTAAATTCGAATTCAATCGTGGTGAATAGTTTTGTATGCATTGAATTTTTGAAACGTTAAGGGACTATAATAGCGGCAGCCTTCGACAAACAAGTCGAACTTGTAAAAGGTCACTTCAGACATAATTGTGCAAAATTTACGCTATGCTCATTTTATATTGGCTCGGTTTGTATTTCCGACATTGCTTAATTATTTGTGTCAATGGACCTTCAGTTGCTCTTCGGCAGAGTTTTGATTGGGTGTCACTATGGCTTACGGTTTTATGCGCATTTCTCCGTATGTGCTATTGATATGACTTTAATTTCCAATTTTTCAAATAAATTTTGGCCTCTGATTCTCTAAGATGATGGCTGTAATAACATCTATTCTTTTATGTTAAGACGCATGTTCATGAATGCGATCTGCAGCTGGAGAGCTTTACTGACCTTTTGTGTTTGTGGAGTTATTGCACTCTTTCTCAATCTCCCTCTGCAACCTATTAAATCTGTCACTCAAAATCAAATCCTGACGAATGCTTCCAAAGTTGTGGTATTCAATCGAGTCCCCAAAACCGGCAGCACAACTGTGGTTCGCATATTCGAAACTCTTAGCGAGCGAAACAACTTCCACGTTTATCGAATTGCCATCTTCAATCCCACTCAACTTATTAATCCTCTCTCCCATAAAGCTTTCGTGGAGGAGGTTAGGATGCTATCTCAGGACTTTAATCTCCTAGTTCATGGTCACTTTTATTATATCAATTTCCGCAGGTACGGCATTAACATTGACTATGTTTACATAAATTGTTTGCGAAACCCGTTGGAGAGGCTTGTTTCAAAGTATTATTTCATGCGTTTCGGAGATTATCACCGACCTAACACTCAAAGACGCCGCATGACAAACGATAGCCTTCAAACGCAAACATTTGAAGAGTGCGTTGAAAATGGAGGTGAAGATTGTGACCCCAGGCATCTCTGGGTTCAGGTTGGTGCCTTGAATGCCCTCCCCTTTAATCCTCTTCTACCTTCACTAGATTCCATTCTTCTGCGGCAGTGCGGCATATTGCAGCATTCATGGCAACCCCGAGGCACTAAAAACTGCAAAGCGTCGACTAATAGAGGACTATCTTCTAGTAGGCGTCCTGGAATACTTCACTGAGTTCATGGAGCTATTAGCTCATCTCATACCCGAATATCTCACCGGTATTGAACAGACGAAAGATGTTAAAATTGGTGGTCAGCCATTATGGCATTTACGGAAGACTAAGCTAAAGGCACCAATCCAACAGAACACACTCAACGTGTTTCGGAACAATAATATTTGGCGGATGGAGGAGGAGTTTTACGAGTTTGCAAGATCTGAATTCCTTAGTCGTTATCAGCGCTATAAGCACACACTTTTTGATTGGAATAAATGGAGGAAATCAGTCTTTATTCGTAGCATCTGATTGTTAATATGCATCTTGTCTTTAACAATGCTTCCCCTGCTTTTGAAATATGTATGAGATTATTTTCTTGCGTCTTATTCTTGGAAGACAATTAAAGTCGATGCTTTAACAGATGACTTTGAATGCTTCAGTTTCACCGTGAAAATCGTACATTCCAAACAGGAATTCCTTGGCTGTTCCAAAGTGTCGAATCCGGTAAACTCCGGGCTGGCATCCCCTGAATGGTGAGTCAATTGTCCATTGAATTTCAGCTACATGAAACCAAGGTGGAAGAATCCCTAGAACGCGTTTCCATATGAATCTAGGGCGAGTTAGCACTATAAGTGGAACTTCTCACTTGGTTTCCCAGTCAGCATCGGTGTATGCCACTTCCCATTGATCCAGTTTGATCTGTTTCTCAACAGTGAGAAAAGTGGAATTTGTTCGCATGTTATTCCTAGGGTCTCCGGTAATAAAACTCACTATTACGATACCATCAGACTAAAAAGGGAGTGAGAGTTTTGTGAAATGACTACCTACCTTGCTATAGATGCTTTTGGGCGGCTCCCAGATACTGCCAAACTTCCGAAATGGCGGTCGAGTGTCATAAAATGTCGGAAGAGAGAAACTGAATAGGCGTTCAAGCAAGAAGGGCGGTTGAGGACCGGGTGGTAGCAGCCTGTTCTGTAGTTTTAAAAGATGCGAAAAATCCAATTTTCTGTCCTGTTCAATGTCGCTTGGATTATACTAACTACTGATATCGAGAGGTATTTAAAGGCAGGTTTAAAACCGAAAAGAGAGGTTGTAAGATTTTTCGATGATATAACGCGATCAAAATAGTGCAGTCAAGGCCGCTTTAACAACCAAGTGTTCAAGAATGTGCACTTATTTTGCAGGGGAAGGTAACATAACGGGCTCCAAGGGGAAGCCTGTTGCGAGAAAAGTTAATCGAATTCAAGGATTGGTAGGTCTCAATCCTCGCACTTACAGTCCCATTTTTTGACGTTTTCAATGTTAAAACTTGCCAGATCAGTCGATTTATATGATAGCCAAAGTAAAAGCAGACTTAACATAAAGAAACTGGTTGTTGTGGCGATAACTTGTGCCTTATTAACGGCAAGTAAGAGATGTTGTGATACTAGTCTTACTTTATCTCCAATAAAGTGTCGCCTAAAAGCTTCAATAACCAGTCTTGATGTTTATCCTTCCAATTGGTTTGCCTACCTACTGGACCTTTCGACACCGCAGTTTGTGGTGGTCTTCAATGTTGACTTTTTAGTGGTTGAAAAAGTCTTTCGGATTTATTATAACGTCTTAAAAAGGCGTTTGTATATACAAATTAGGTATTCCAGGCTACAGTCTCGCTAAAAAATTGAGCCTGAATCAGGAGGCATATGTAGTCAGAATATTCATGACTTGGTCTTCATTTCGTCTGGATTCATTGAAAAGGCTGTGATCAAACTAACATGCAAATATACGGCATTTGGAATTCAAAAAGACGCCAGCAGGACAAAGAGTTTCTATTTTCTTCCCTACAATGAGCTTCTCAAGACTAATACAAATGAAGGTCCCTTTTTCAATGGACGATGTGGGCCATGGCTTTGATGGTTCACCAAATAGCAAAAACTTTCGACGTGACTCAAGAACTTGTCCATGAATTTTATTCGACTTTAACTTGTGATGCTGCCTTGTCAGCGACATCTCTTAAATGTCCTTGACTTAATCAAGGGTAGTATTTTGGTGCAATTTGGAGGAAGTGGCCTAATTGCAATGGGTGGAAAGGGGTGCCAGGCTTAGGTCCACAAACTGGGTACCTAGTGATACTTTGATGCTGACATTGATAGAAAGGTACAGAATGATTTCCCTCTCTTCACAAAACATCATATTACTTTCGTTTTTTTTTTAAAGACAACCAGCTTACTTCTGAAGCCTTACCCTTAAATTCATGGCACTGCAAAGCAAACAAACACAAACAAGTCAAAAGAAAGCATTCTAGAATGGGGTGTAGGAAGAACAAAGGGTTATTCTGTTGACGCAAAATTCATCGGTTCTCAAGGCGTGCTCAAAAGGTCAGAGCTAAATAGAACTTGACTTTTCCACATTTCATGATGCTTTAGCTGGAACGAAAAGCGCTGCATGACCATTCCATCTTATGTAATTACACCTAAGGGAAGGTATGCCAGTAGGACGAACTCTTCAAGTCCTAACCAGTCTCAAATGGTTGTCAAGTGGATGAATTTTTGGGGAGTAAATGTTGGCAAGCATAGTTTTCACAATGCTGGAGAGCTTCAGCCTTTGGCACGAAACCTCATAAAAACGGAGTCGATTTCAACTTTTAGCCTAGGGCTTTTACTACAGCAAATGGACCAGGTTTGGTGAAATAATACCTGGGGCAACTAATAAGGAACCGAGATGCCCAGGTATTCGGGCACGTACACGAGTCATAGCCTTGGTGAGCTTCACAAACTGTTCCACATAGGCCTGTAGGGTATGGGGACCAAATATTGTAGAGGCTCCTTCGTACCGTTGAATCTAAAGAGAACACTGTCTAAGTACCAGAAGTCGAATAAATGGAGGGACAAAAATTAAAAGGTCAAAACGAAGAAAATAGCTTACAAAGACTGGCGAAAACTTGCGCCAAATGTGAAGAAAAGATGAATGAAAGTTTGGCCAGCTGTGTGGTGAGCAGAGAATGGGTCTGAAGGGTTGAAATGGGTGTATTAAAGATGATGGGCAGAGAGGTGAATGAATGAAAATACGGTTATGCAGAAATGAGGCAAATTGATGAACTGACATGTAAAATCAGGAGCATACTGTGGAATAAGGTGTGGAAGAGTAAGTCAGTAGTTCGTAATTTACGGATCTGGAGAAATCTATGTTTATTTTACATTCACAACCTATTCATTCTTCGAGATTTTAATTTCCTCAGTGCTTTTATGACATACTTGATACTCTTCAAACGTTGTCACATAGTGCGTGTAGAGATTTGAAAGACCCGCGAGAGTGATGATCGCTTCTTTAGGAAGAACCTTGGAAGAATGAAAGGGAGGATGAATAAGCTGGGTACCAGCAGGCAAGCAAGATATTGCACGTAATTGTGTATTGAAAGCATACAGTCAATTCCTTGGTGAGAATCTGGCTACCAAATACCAGT